CAGACCATACGAGTAAAAACCGACCAGAGCAACTTCTGTAACCCCCCTCGTTCTGCATGTTCCATACACAATTTAAACCACCTGTCGCTGACGCATCATGCGTGAATGAGAAATACCCAGAGAATGCCCCGTTAGTTTTTTGCAATGTCACACAACTTTTGGAAAACCCCTAAGATAGGATGGCTGGGGTAGAATTCGTCCATTTTTCATTGGACTACGTGACTTATCAGTCAAGTACAACATATGGGTATGCCAGCCTTATCCTCATCTGCCCCCTCCTGAATTCATTATCTTATTTTCGACATCTGAAGCACTACTTACAGGATGTATTCAGCCCTATTATCTCTTGGCCTCCAACATACCTATTTACGATTGCAGAATAAAAGGTTAAATCGCAGTTGGTAGCCAGGAATGGGAAGGCGAGCAGCCAGGTTCCTGTCGTACGGGAATGGTAGGAAAGGGGGTTATATGGGTGGGGTAAATGAAAGGGCTGGTAGTGGATTGCTGGATTTCCTTGGTAAGAGTAAAGTTACCAGGGAAATTGATAGGAAGTTTTAAGTAGGTGAAAAAATGGCAGAAATTTCACCCCTAAACTTAACCGTAAAATGCAATCCTGACCGCAACCGTAAAGCCAAACACTAAGCCTCAAAACCGAAACGCAAACAAAATCGTAAAACCCAACGCTAACCCAAAACCTAGACATAATCCTAACCCTAAACTTGACTCCAACCTTAACCCTAACCTTAAGCCCAACCCTAACCTTAGCCCTAACCTTAGCCTTAACCGTTTACCTAGCGGAAGTCTAAACCCTAACCCTTACACTGAAACCTGACCCTAAAACGCGAACCGTAATCATAAAACTTAACCTACGCCTACGCCTAACCCTCAGTAAACCCAACAGCCTGACCGAAACGGGCGACCTGGCTAACTCAGTAAGAGCACACCTACTGATAAGCAGTGCCCTAGACAAGGTAAGCACACCTACTGATAACAAGTACGTACGTCGACAGTATCAACGTATAATTTCCTGGATACCGACTGCGATTTTACAAAATAAAATATTTCAACGTGCTTCAAAGAGGGCGAAAAATTATTTCCTTCTATACTATTTCAAATGTTACCATGCTTTGTGAGTCGCTACTCAGTTCGGAGTTTGAATTACCTCATTCCTTTTACATGCGAAGATGAAGGAGAGTAGATGTCAGGCATGAGTTCTTGTTAGAAATTAGACTAGTTTACAGTCAGTGACGAATCTCATGAAGTGTAAACCACGATTCTGGAACGCGTCTCTCATCAGAAGGATTTTTAAGTGGGATCGCCGTATTAATCAAAATGTTGCATAATCCCAGGATGTTTTAGTCACTAGCAGACGCCGGCATTTGACTGCACTTCTTTTCGGTTGCCTGCAAAAACAGCACTCGTTAAAAAGTGGCCCCTCAGGTAATATGCATCTCCTCATTGATTTTCGATGATCTCATAAATTCAAATGTACTCTTTCCTGTACTAATTTGGCAGTAAATCTGGCCTATTCCAACTCTTATACACCCGAATGGTATAGATGGGCTCAAAAGAGTTTGCAATTACTAGATATTTTATGGACGCAAAACTTCAATCCAAGCAGCATCCCGTCTATCCGTTTATTAATATATTTTATGAAA